AAGGACCCCTTTAAACGCGATCAGCACTGTGAAAAACTCACTCTGTAGACGACTTAGGGTCGTGCAGGCCCATTTCCTCAAAGCCCCAAGGTCCTATCAGAGCAAAGCCCTGGTGTGTAATTTTGCTTCCTGCCTTTCCATGTTATTTTCATTACTATGGCTTTACCATGCCAGTGGAAAAAGAAGCTGTAGATTTTAAATATTGCAAGAAGAGCTTCAGAAATTTGACTCTTCTTTTGCCTTTTATTTGCACAGTAAGTCTGGGAGGCGTGCATTAGAACTGAATCTTTAACAACAATAAAAATCAAATCCCTTTTGTTTATAAAAGGAAAGTTTGTTATATGTTGGATTTTACGTGTCAGTATGATGGAGAATAAACAACAGAATTTCAGGACAAGGGCAAAACTGGATTACAGTCAGCAAAGTCCTTGATGGAGGGTGGTTACCAATACACTGAAGTTAAATCACCACAGGAATGACTTCCATACCAGAGCACATACGTCCACTCAGATAATTACAAAAAGCAAAAGAAATACCTTCTTGGCATGGGTTTGCTCACAAGCTTTAACTCATCAAGATACCAGCTGTAGAGTCACATATAACATACAAAAATATCATTAAAACTAAACATTTATCTAGGAGAAAAGAGGGAGAGTCCAGGGCTACATGAACCAGGCTAGAGACTAGGTTAAAGAGCTGGGGAGGTGGGGACTTAGAGATAAGATCAGAGCTACCTTCCATCAAGACCCCTCCCTGCCTTTGCCTATGAATCACATGAACCCATGCTGTGGTTGGGATTTGGGCCTGGCTCTATACTGAAGTCTTTCACTGTTCCTCACGATGTTTGTAATTCAAGGAAGGCATTCCCAAGAGGACACTCCTATCTTCCAGGAATGCTAGTCAGGCTTCGTGGTTCTAAGTAGGGAAGGGTGCAGTCTTGTACAAAAGTAGTTAAGGAACACGGCTACAAAACTCAATTGTAAGGGCTGGGAGATGGCTCAGTGGGTAGGCACTGAATTTTGAGCCACAGCACTGACATAAAAAAACTGGGCATGGCAGTCGTACCTGTAACAGTAGTACTGAAGGGTGAAAACAGGTAGCTCACTGGCGCTTGCTGAGTAGCCATTCTAAGCCGACACAGAAAGCTCAATTTTGAGCAGAGACCCTCTCAAAAAATAAGGTGGAGAAGCCATGGAGGAAGACATCCTGCTAAACTCTGGCTTTCATACATTTACACAAGTATACATACATGCACACACACACACAAACACCTGAACTCATGAGTGCATGCACATAAACAGGCAAACCTAGCTCTGCTTAGAGATGCCATTGGTTCTTTTCTTTGCCAGAGCCAGGCCTTGGCACTTCCAGAAGTCCTTGATTTGACTTCTCCCATGAACCAACCTTAGCAAACAGCCCCCTTTTCTCCTCAAAGCCAGTGGATCCTTAGATAGCCTAGGCTAACCTTGAACATGCTATGTAAGCAGAAGATGATCTTGGGCTTCTGATCTTCCTGCCTATAACTTCCGAGTGCTAGCATTTTAGCTCTGAGTCCCATGGCCAGCTAAAACTATGCTCTAACATGGGTTTATGACTGATCTTCCTGTAAAAACTGATTATCTAAGCACAGACCACCATATTCACGCACCAAACCATCACTTCAAAGGTACAGATAACCCAGAGAAGAAACTTACATGGTAGCAGAGTCATACGGAGGAGAGGGGTCCCTTGGTGCTTTGGTTAAAAATAGCTGTGAGCTGACCAAGTATGCACCAAGAACAAAACACAGTATCTGAGGAGCAGTGAGTACTTTAAAGGGGAGGCTGGGCCATCTCTCTAGGCCCAGGGCAAATATTTTAAAGAAAGATAAATACAATGTCACTGGCAGCCAAAATTTGTCTTCAGCTAAAAACAAATTCAACTGAAATAAACGTTAATTATTTTTTATTTACAAGTTAAAAGCCTCAGAAAAGAAAGGGAACACCTGGGCCTGAGGAGGGGCAAGGAGTTAAGAATGTGAAGGAGAGAGTAAAAGAAGTCAGCTATGAAGAGTGAATGAAGCATCCCAAGGACAGACGGATACTTTCAGTGAGTTAGCAGCTATTATAGCACCAGATCCTTCATCCCTGGGGCATGTTTCTCTACTCTTATCCTAACAGACCATAAGACCTTTAGGGACACAATCTGGCCTCTCAGAACCATCCCCCCCCCAAACACACACACCCCTTCTTCTATGGGGTAGAACAAAAGACTCTAGCAAAAGGACTGAGGATAAAAGCAAGTTGTGTTTATATATTTTTGTACACATATGTACCTGTGTGAGTGTGTGTGTGTGCGCGCGCGCGTGCTCACACTAGCACATGTGTATATAACAATATGGGAAGATCCTATCAATATGACAGTGAAGGGGAGAGCGTGGAAGGAATTGTTAGGGGCTGGAGGGAAGGGAGACATCTTAAAATTTAAAATGTACAAAAAATACAGTAATTCGCTCTTTTCCTGTGGTTCCCCTGGGGCAGACAGGACTTTTCCTGTCTCCCTCTTCTCTTCCGTCCTCTGTCTCTTTACCTCTTTTCTCTTTCCTCCCCACCCACTTCCCTTTCTAATAAAACTTCTCACTTAAAAAAATACAGTAATTCACATAAAATAGAAAAATCTCAAGTGCTCAAAATAACTGTAAAGTGTTCAACTCTGAAGATACCTTTTCCTAGTATGCTGTCACGAATACTGCCTGGGCTGCATCTCAGAGATCCTTGGACCTGCAGACCTGGGTGCTGGCTTGATTCATATACAGTCTGAAATGCTCTGGGTTGTCATGAGTACTGCCCATGACTCTGGGAAGAACTAATGGGGGTCTTCATAATTTTGCTGTATGTGCTGTACTGACAAGAGTCAGTATCTTAGAAAGGCCTTTTGTTTTCCTCAAAGGCCCTGCAACTGCATTAGGGAGAGTTGGGAATCAAAAGCTGGCTTGGTAACAGTAAGTTTCACCATGCAAGACAGCCAAGGAGCAGGTTACAGATCTGTACCTCCTCTTATGATGGTCTTTGGGTCAATAGGAGTAGTTTAGTCTTGTTTTTGATGTCTGCCCGGCAGGGCATTAAATGGAACAACTATTCTTGGCTACACTGTATCATGAAGCTACTTGTTATTTGGATTTTATTAAATCTTGGGTGTCATAGAAGATTTTAGAAAATCATTTGGACTTCACAGTGATGTTATCAAGTAAGAAAATGATTGGGAAAAGGAGGTATGATGATTAGTGTTAAAAGTGTCAATAGGACAAACCAGGAGACAGGCCTTCATGGGTGATTTAGCTGAGCTTGCCTGTAAGGGATTATCTTGATTAAACTGAGGTGGGAAGACCCATTCTGAAAGCAGGTGGTAGCACTCTCTGGCCTGGGGTTCCAGACTGTGTAAGGAGAAAACAAACTGGGCATTAGCAATCATAACTCTCTGCCTCCTGACTGTGGATACATGTGACCAGCTGCTTCAAGTTCCTGCTGTTGTGACACCATGAGAGACCATACCTTTGAAACACAAGTCAAAACACATCCTTTCTCCCTTGAATGGCATTTGGCAGGGTATTCTGTCACAAGAGGAAAAGAAATAAAGACATAGAGAAGTGCTAAGTGGTGTCTTCATGTAATATTTATGTATTATATTCAAGGAAATCAGCATCTGGGTCACTTTTTAAAAATCTGTCCATCTGCACAGTTCTTAGTCTACTCTATAATGGCTGAGGCCTGTCCATTCTAGTCTTACAATCAAGTTTTTCATCAATCTCATCACATCAATGTTATCAACTGAATAAACTCTGGAAACTTCGGATAGAGCTCTCAATTATTTGGATTCTACTAACATCAAAAACTTCAAAGTACTTCTCAACAAGTAAAATTAAAATTCATCTTTCAATGAGCTATGATATTTTTAAAGGTTTTACTTTAAAATAATGTTGAAAAGTATTCAAGCAATGTTTAACCCAAGATGCTGAGTTGCCATGATTGTGTGGTCAAGCGATCTAGAATCACCAGAAGTTGGGCATCTGAGCAAACCTGTAGCAAATTATCTTGATTATAACTGGCCCCCACTCATATGGGTGCCACCATTCCCTGAACAGGGTTCTAGACTAAACGGAGAAGTGGCACCAAACAGTATCAACAACTATGGATCTTCGAGGTGGCTTTGGGCACCTGCCGTCTTAACTTCCCTGACATGGGCTATACCTTGAACTGTAAGCCCAAAATACCTTTCCTCCCTTAGACTTTGCTCAGAGTATTTTATTAGAGAAAAATAAGACAGGAACTTTAAAAGCAGACAACTGTGACTGGAGAGTTGCTCAGTGGTTAAGGGTTGTTGCTGCATAATGAGGACCAGAGTTTGGATGCCAAAACTCTTTTAACAAGCTGGGTGGCTGGTCCACACATGCCTGTAACCCAGCCCTGAGGGGAACAGACAGGATCCCAGAGGCTTGTTGGCTTCTGTCTGGCCTATAGAAAAAAAATTAAGTTCCAAGTTCATAGAAAGACCCTGCTTTCTGGAGTAACAGGGAGTAACAGAGAACATCCAATGTCATCTTCTGTGTTTCAACTTTTACACAAGCACACACACACACACACTTACAAAACAGACAATAAAATTCAGTGGATACTGAAAACCTTTCTTACTTATAGACTTTTTTTTTCTGGTAAAATACTATTTAAAAAGTGAGATGCTTTTTAATGTCCTAATCCAAACATTTTATCACTTAGCCTAACTCCCTTTTTGTAAGGTTTTGTTACTTTGCTAATTTTAATTTAGTCTTTCAGTAGGTCTGAAACTCACTTCAGCCATTATACTAACCACTGCAGATCGTCAGCACCATCAATTGACCCCTAATTGGTCATCTGAATGACACCTCACATTTCCTCCTTTACTAAAATGTTAGTTCCCACTCTCCAGTTAATTTTACACTAATTAAGTCAGACCCTGCACCTGGCTGTTACAGATGACAAAGCAGATGTTGTGAATGAAACTTTTATTTACACACTGTATCTAGAAGCAGATACATAAATTTTTATACAATTGATTTCCAAAAAATGTGCAAGAAGTTACTATAATTTGCTTACAAACCAAAACACTTATTAAATCAATAGACTTTGGATAGTTCATTCTGTGGTGTTCTCAGTACAAACAGTACACACCTGATTTGGAACTTACAAAGTGTAAACTACAGCAATCTGGATTGCAGGTGTTAATTTCATAGCATACCAACTATGATACTCCTTTACCCCAACATGAATACATATTGTTAGGAAATTCTAAGACCTCCACAACCTCTCTGGTTGGAGATTTTGGGTCGCTTTAAAAAAAAAAAGTACATTTTGCCTTGTATATTATGACTGATCAATAAAAATGGTGTTATAAAAACTTTACAGGATTAAAAAAGTATTAAAAGAAACCAAATTTTTTATTATTAACGTACCAATACCTTTAGAATTTTAAAGTTATTTGTGGAACTGGCTATTGTTCTTCATTAAAGAATATTCAACAAAACTGTCTATTGCTGGTAGTGTCGTTTCATTCTAATTAATACTTCACATTCACTGAAAGAAATTCTGATTTAAATCAAAATATATTATTTTGAATAATAAGAATTTCTTTCATATATAACGTGAAATGTAAAGTTGGCATTCCTGAAAGCAGTTAGAGATACTTAGCACTGGGAAGTAAACTGCATAAACCTGTAAGATTTCAATAACTTTCGTCCTGTTTCAGTAACACTGGCTCAGAAACTACTTTATCTCTCCTTAATGCCAATGAGTTAGCCTTTTTGGCACATGGTTTTATTCAACAGCAAGATGGTTGCCCTATGTAGCTTGTTCCATGGTTACTGTGATATGACCTAAAAGTTTTAGATTATTGCACCATATAGAAAGAAAACAGTCTTCCTCAGAGAAAACAAGATACTTTTCAAGTACTTTCCGTAGCTCTCATATTTATAAAAATGTGTTAAGTGTCTTAGGAAGCTCCAAAGTAACCTCCAGTCTCCAGCATGTTTGGTGGTGAAATACTTGAGCAAAAAAACTGATTAACTTGTCACAATTGGATGCAGCTTTCCTGGTTCCTATTTTCTTGCCTAGGAATTCTAAATGTGCAGTTTAAGAAGGGCTTAAATGTTTGTATTGTCTAAGTTCAAAGAAACCCAGAAAGCTAAACGACTTCTATCTAAGCCAAGATACAAGACAAAGACTTACTCTTTTTCTTTACATTTTTAATAGCGACCTAAAAAGCCAGTATTTTCCACTGTTTCCCACTTCTGCCAAATGGATATCTTGGCTACAAAAACCACAAAAACACTGACAATACAACTTTCTGTGAATCTGATTTCTCAATAAATGCGGATTTTTATTCGTAAAGTATCAGAATCTGAAGATTTCAAAGTGAATTAGGACAGGTCATATTAAGTATGAAAACACAGTTCATCAAAAGGTGTTTTTTTTTTGTAATAAAGATTTGCCCTACAAAATTGATTATTAGAAAGATTTAAACAAAAATCAGAATAATCTTGACATTTAATGGGTAGTTCCTAAACACAGGGCACCATGAGAAAGAGTAGGAAACAAGCTATGTTCATGTAAGACATGTTGGGGACAGTATAGAGACTTTTATGAGCCATGAACTCAAGGACATATGTATATTTCTAAGACATGAAGCCATCTTGGCGTTCACCATCAATATGGTAACTATGTGACAACTTGACCTGCCATCTAACATAGATGCAGGGACTTTCAACTCACCCTAGATATATCTTCAGTTGTTTAAAAATAAATAGTTTTGCAAAAAAATAGTTAAGTGTCTGGCATTAATTTGATAACAAGCTTACAACTCTGCAATAGTTCTTACTCCAACAGCTTATAATGAATGCTTGTATTACTACAGTATACTCCATATTCCATCATATTAGACAAAACACATCAGAAAATGAAATTCTTTGTAACAAGGTCCAACCAACATTCCATCAAAAGTAAGTACCTTGCTCCTTATAAGTCAAGATGCCATTAATATCATAACACAATGGCACTGTGCCTTTTCTTGCAATATCTCAATTCTAATCCTAGAAAAATAGAGAAAAATGTAAAGATAAAGATCTGCTTGAATGACAAAGCCAGAAAGTTTGACCTAAGACCTTTACCCTTGTGATTTTATTTTAAGCATCTGTAGCTGGAAACATTTTCTGAATGGGGCAATCTTTAAATACTATCACTTAATAATTTTAATAACTCCATTGCAGAACTCTGAACTTAGTCTACATTCAAAAAAAGTCTTAAAACCTGGCACATCATTCTCTAACACAGATAAAAAACTAGAGATGCCAAGTTACTTAAGAATTAGCAAAATTAGCATAAACCAAAAAGCAACCTTCAAAGGGCAGTCACAGCAAGAAACTATTCCTGCGTATCTGATATGGTTCTACAGTTTTCCTCACACAATGTATCACAATTTCCAATTACTTAACCGATATCATTCAGGTTGTTGTTTTGGGGGCAGGATGGTCAAACCCAGCACATTGTAATGACTACACAGAAGAAAGATAAGTCACCTTTAAAATAATTTCTCTATTCAAATCAATTTACAACTTTATATAAACTTTAATGTAAGAAAATACAACTCATTTATGAAACTTGTTTTGTCAAGTTTATGGAAGAAAGTATTGACTAAAGAAATCATAGATAAAACATTTAACTGAAACAATCTCTCTGTCATACTCTCTCTCACACACACACACATACACTGCATATAAGAAACCAGGGTTATCTCACTGTTCTAACAATGGTTTGGGCTTTACAGGGCTTTAAATTATGCCAATTTATACCAGAGTTTAATGACAGAAAAGGCAACAATTTCTAAATTGTGTATATATTTGTTTACAATTTTAATGTAAGGCCATTTATCAAAGGAGACAAACCACAAGATGAAATGAAGGCAACGGAAAAATTCAACTTCTCACAACCAAAACAATTATCACATCCTTAAAAAAATAATTTAGAAAAGTGTTATACAAGATATATTTGCATTCCATTAACCAAGATTTTGTCGATTCATAATCCTGAATAACTCTTTTCTTAAAGTGTGAGACTGAAAACAAATCATTTTTCAGTGTATATGTAATATTTATCCCATGTGTTTATTCAATTGGACCATTTAACATCATAGCAATTTTTGTTCTTTATGTTTCATTCAACTTTACTTAGGGTTGAATACACAGGAAATGTGCTTTAATGCATAAGAATCACAGTGGATAGCAGCAAAGGACTGGGAGGGGGCGTTACGGAGAATCTGGTCATTCACATTGTGATTATTCTGCACATTAAAGAAAGATAACTCACACTTCTAGATCCTCAAGATATCCCTTTCCAAAGAATCAAAATAAACTCAAGACACCTTGCAGACACTTCCCCACCCCGAACAAACTGATGACCCTTTCACACATTAAAAACTAAAATAGTTATGGCAGCAAAGACTTCAATGGCGATGTAAGTCTGTAAACTGTACTCCAGTCTTGTATCTGAACCCCAAAGTGCAAGAAGCAGGGCTCCCAATCTCTCAGTAGTGCTTCTCCTGCAAATAATCCTTCATTTTGTTTGGCAAAGGCAGTTTCTGAATTAAGTCTATTCTGGTGTACTGACGTATAACAAAGCGACACAGGTACTGCAGAGAGCGCACCTGCATGAACCGTGACACTGGATTGGTCAGTCTGACCGGGTAAGTCGCAGATCCCGGCAACCGAGACCTTGAATAACAAAATGCTCCATTTTCAGAGTCCCTGATTGAATGCTCGATTAAGTCAACTATAGATGTATGCCCTTCTACATCTGGCTGTTCGTAAAAGCTGAACCTACCATTCGAGTGCTCAATTCTAGTGTGAAGTGTTTTGCCATGGGAGCGAAAGCTCAGGCTTAAAAGGTAACGGTCATCAGAACTATCCCGAACAAGAAAAGAACCATCTGGCACGTTAGCCAGCTTCCCCTCTGCCTCCCAGCGTGTGATGGGGCCCCAGTACCACCCCTGTTTTGCAAGCTTCTTCAGCTCCTCCGTAAGACTTGTCACAACCATGGGGCCACTACTCTGCACTGAGTCATAAACTCTTGCAACCCCAGGTGCAGAGTTGGGATCAAAATTCAAATGACAGCGCACGCTTTCAGCCATGTGCATGTCCGGGCCTGAGAGGCCGCTAAAGTTCCTTTGGATTGGGTTATTCTGCATTGGAGGTAGCAACGGTGAGAGGGGAGGGGCATCGTCATGACCTGCTCTAGGGCTCTGCAACATGACTCCTGTGGTGCCAATCAGCAAGTTGTTCACCGAAGAATCCACAAGAATCTCTGGGGCTACAACCAGGTCCTGGTCCACTTGACTGTCGTCTTCGGAGAAGGCGCTCGCCCCAGGCAGGGGCATGGCCGACACCTCCATGGGTGAGGACGTGTCCAGGCAGCAGCTGCGCGGCCCTTCCAGAGGGCACATGCCATCGTCTAAAGGCACGGTGTACTGAAGGTAGTCCTGAGACATGAGTCCGATAACTACAGGCACATGTTCCTCCAGATGGAGGCGCAGGTCCCCGGGCGAACCGGGGCTGCATCGGGACTCAGGGCGTGGCTC